GAAAGGAAATTGGTATATCAAAGAGATATTTGTATTCTCATGTTTATTGAAGCACTATTCACAATAGATAAAACATGGAATCAACCCAAGTGTCCATCAATGAGATGAATGGATTAAAAAATATAGTATATATACACAATGGAATATTTTTCAGCAGTAAAAAAAGAATGAAATCCTGTCATTTGCAGCAGCATGGATGGAACTGGAAGTCATTATGTTAAGTGAAATAAGCCAAGTGCAGAAAAACAAATATCACATGTTCTCATTTATATGTGGGAGCTAAAAAACAAGTGGATCTCATGAAGATAAAAAGTAGGTTGGTGGTTACCAGAGGTAAGGGGAAGGTGGGAGGGGATGAAGAGAGATTGCCTTTTTTTTTCCTTTCTGTTTTAGTTTGGAATGCTAGAGTGGATTAGTCACTTTAGACCATCGTGAGACAGGTTAGTTTCACCCTACTGTTGATGTGCTGTTGCCAATGGTAATCCTGCTCAGTATAAGAGGAACCACAGGTTCAGACATTTGTTGTATGTGCTTGGCTGAGGAGCCAATGGGGTGAAGCTACCATCTGTGGGATTATGACTGAATGCCTCTAAGTCAGAATCCCACCCAGGCAGAACAAGAAGGAAAAAGGTTTAATTGACTCACAGTTCCACATGGCTGGGGATGTCTCAGGAAACTTACAATCATGGCAGAAGGGGAAGCAAATATGTTCTTCACATGATGACAGGAAGGAGAAGTGCCAAGCAAAAGGGGGGAAATTCCCTTATAAAACCACCAGTTAGCATGAGAACTCATTTGCTATCAGAAAACAGCAGCATGGCAGTAATCACCCCCATGATTCAATTACCTTCCACTGGGTCCCTCCCATGACATGTGGGGATTATGGGAACTACAATTCAAGATGAGATTTGGGTGGGGACATAGCCAAACCATATAATTCTACCTCTAGCCCCTCCAAAATCTCATGTCCTCACATTTCAATACACAATCATGCCCTTCCAATAGTCCCCCAAAGTCTTAACTCATTCCAGCATTAACTCAAAAGTCCAAGTCCAAAGTGGCTTTGCAGGGTACAGCCTTCTCCCTGGCCACTTTCACAGGATGGCATTGAGTGTTTGCTGCTTTTCCAGGTACACAGTGCAAGCTGTCGGTGGATCTACCATTCTGGGGTCTGGAGGAAGGTGGCCCTCTTCTCACAGTTCTACTAGGCAGTGCCCCAGTGGGGACTCTGTGTGAGGGCTTTGGCTCCACATTTCCCTTCTGCATTGCCCTAGCAGAGGGTCTCCATCCCTGCCACAAACTTCTGCCTGGACATCCAGGTGTTTCCATACATCCTTTGAAATCTAGGCAGAGGTTCCAAAACCTCAATACTTGACTTCTGTGCACCCACACGCTCAATATCATGTGGAAGCTGCCAAGGCTTGGGGCTTGCACCCTCTAAAGCAATGACCTGAGCTGTATGTTGGCCCCTTTTTAGCCAAGGCTGGAGCTGAAGCAGTTGGAACAACAGAGCACCATGTCCCAAGGTTTCATAGAACCGGCGGGGGGGGACGGGGTATGAGGGGGGCCCTAGGTGCAGCCCATGATACTATTTTTCCCTCCTAGGCCTCTGAGCCTTTGATGGGAGGGGCTGCTGAGAAGGTCTCTGACATGCCCTGGAGACATTTTCCCCATTGTTTTGTTGACTAACATTCAGCTCCTTGTGACTTATGCAAATTTCTGCAGCTGTGTTGAATTTCTCTCCAGAAAATGAGTTTTTTTCCTATTGCTTCGTCAGGCTGCAAATTTCCCAAACCTTTATGCTCTGCTTCCTCTTGAATGCTTTGCTGCTTAGAAATTTCTTCCACCAGATACCCTAAATCATCTCTCTCAAGTTCATAGTTCCACAGATCCCATAATTTATAAAGGAAAGAGGTTTAATTGACTCACAGTTCTGCATGGCTGGGGAGGCCTCAGGAAACTTACCATCATGGTGGAAGGGCAAGCAAACATGTCCTTCTTCACAAGGTGGCAAGAGAGAAGTGCTGACTGAAGGGGGAAAAGCCCCTTATAAAACCATCAGATTTCATGAGAACTCACTCACTAGCATGAGAGTAATAACCCCCATGATTCAGTTACCTCCCACTGGGTCCCTCCCATGATGTGTGGGGATTATGGGAACTACAATTCAATGAGATTTGGGTGGGGACACTGCCAAACCATATCAACTTATATTCAAATTCACTGGTTCTTTCCTCAGCTATGTTCAGTCTGCTGATAAGCCCATTGAAAGAATTCTTCATTTCTGATAAGGTGTTTTTAAATTCTAGCCTTTCCATTTCACTTTTTAAGTAATTTTCCTCTTTCTGCTGAAATTCTGTATATATATTCATGCATGTTATTCACCTTTTCCACTAGCTTTTTAAGCATAGTAATTATAGCCCAGTATATGGGTCATCTCTGAATCTGGTTCTGTTTTACCTCTTGATTTTTTCTCCTCTCTGCTTTTTTGGGTGTCTTTTAATTTTTGATCAAGTGATGGCTATCACATGTAGGAGAATAGTAACGACTAAGGTAAATAGTATTAATGTCCAGAAATAAGCCTCTTCTGTCCGGTCAATAATGTGGGTAGTTGAGTCAATCTAGTTGGGAGTTGTGCTGAATTTGGGTTTTATTGTTGTTGTCATTGCCTTCACTCTGTAGCACAGGCTTCATTCAGATTCCTCTAGCAGGGGGTTACTATTACATTGTTTTAGTGTGGAACCTAGAGTGCTGGGAACTTTTTCTCAGTGCCCTTCACTCAGCTTTAGCAGTGTTTGCATGCCTGTGCTACAGAGAGGTCTCTCCCCACACTCTTTTTCCTCCTCACTAGCTGACTGGTGTTGTCACTGGTGCTTGGCTTATAGTGGGGAAAAGGGGTTTTTCACACTCCTGGTCCTGCCTTGGTTTTAGGCAGGCCCTGTGCACCTAAGCCTCAGATGTGGGGCTATCTCAGTATTCCTGCTACTTCTCCACTGCAGCCAAATCCTTCCTTTATCTGTGGTGAGTCTTGAGTGAGAGTTTCCCAGGAGTAGCCAACTTTTTCTATTGGTTCAGGACACGGAGCCCTAGTGTTTCCTGCTCCTGCTGCTCCCCAAAGGGCAGAAGGTTTGTGCTTCTACCTCTTCTCCAGAAGCACGGGGTCTTTGCCAGGATCCTGTTGGTGGTAATGCTTCCTGCCCTTCCCCCAGTGGATAAGGTTTTCATACAGAAGAAAGGTTTGGAGAGGTTAAGTGGAATTTTATGATTGTCCCCCAGTGACAGAACTGTCACCTCCTAATATTCTTTTTATCTCCGGAAAAATATTTATTGCTTATAGAGAGAAATGTAGTGTTTCAATATAGCTTCTTTACAGATGTTTACTAATGATCTGTGATATAAATAGCACTTTAAATATTCAGTACATTGCTGCCTGCCCTTTTGTTTCTCTACCAGATATATTTGTATGAAAATACATTCATCATTCAACAATCCACCTGTTTATTTTAGCTACTTTCCATAGTGCCATCCAAAATTAAACCAAATCAAAATGAATGTGGTTAGGTACAAAAGCTGTCTTGCAAGAAGCAAGTGCGCACTTCACCTGGGAATATCGGAAAGATTTGGATCAGGGCTCTGCTGTTTCTCTGAAGACAGGCTTCACTCAAATAATGATGGTTTATTTTTAAAAATCATCCCACTGAAAAGTCCCTTACAAGGAAATTTCTTAACTTTTTAAAAGCCATACATGGTGTACACATGGTGCCAAGTGCTTAAGGGCAGTTGTTTAAATTTTCCTTTGAGGGCAAGGAAAGCCTAGTACATTCTACTCAGACTTTTAGGAAAAATGAGGCTTATCTATTTTAAAAAGGATAATTTCTGTTACTTTGTGTTCTCTATCTCACCAAAAGACCAGAATTGGAGAAGACTGTCCTAGTTAAGTATGGAATATTGAGTCAAATTAATGGGTTCCAGGGCCTGTGGAGGGAATGTTCTTTAAAATATATATTAATATATCTCCTAATTATCAGTATTAAGACCATTCGAGTTGTATGTTAATTTAAAAATATATTACATTAAAAAACTATTTTTTTAACATAAGCTAATTTTAAGAGAAGCTTGATTGTCATATTGGTGAAGGAACATTTTACAAGCCCCTCTGTACTCTGAAATGTGGTGTCCAAGATTAGACACACAAGGTCAGTGTTACTTAAGCGGCCAAGTTTCCAATTTGTTATTGCTTGTTACCAAATGAAAGTAAAAAGGAAAACAGAAAGGTAAAATAAAGAAACTGGCTTTTATGTATTTTATTCCCAAAAAGGGCGTTTGCCCAAGGACCTTCCCATTCACGGGCTGTCACTCACAGGTGCTCGGAGAATTCAGCCTCCAAATCCCGCAGGTCACACAGATCAGCCAAGTTTTAAGAAACACTCCGGATTAGCGACCCTTCCTCTCCGCAACTCCCACCCCTGCGCCGGGACGCTGCCGGGTGGTCCCCAAGGGAAGATCAGGCCCTGGACGCCCCGCGAGCGCTGGAGGCCCGGAGGCCGAGGCCGAGGACGGGAGCATGCCACCGGGGTCGCGCCACCGAAAGCTCTTCCGGCCTGGGCCAGCGTGCCCCGAGGCCGCGGGCGGAGGCTGGAGCAACGGGCCCAACTCTAGATGTGTATAAGAGACAGTTCCAGGGTACGGACATATTAAATACCTCAGCCTCAAGTAGAAGCAGTAGCTTTCCCTAGGCAGGTATTGTTCCCTTTTTACCAAATGAATGATTATTGTTAGATTTTTAAAAATTCCTAGAAATTCTGTTTCATTTCCTGGATTGCATGGTAAGGGGATTGTT